GACTTCTCCTGCCTCACACGAAGTGTTATAATGAGGCAAGAGAGTATGTTGTGCCTCTGTACTAAACGGTGGAGTGCAGCATACCTGATTTTGTCAGGTCATGGTGCCGATGAGCATGGCGAAGCAGAAATCGCAGCGTCAAGCTCAGGTATTGCAAAACGCACATCAAAGCGCTCATCGGACGATGGAGGCACAATGTTAACAAGAAGCTCATTGGTGGTAAGGTCATCAGTGGTGTACACAATGAGACTACAGTATTCTCTGGCTGCTTCAACTTCTGTCCGACCTTGATGTAAACCAACAGCTTGAAATGCTTTTTGTTGAGGAGTTGTCTGTAAACTTTGTACCACCCGCCAGATCTTTCATAGAGGTTACCTAGGGTCCAGAGAATTAACAAAACTTTCTCCAACGCTACCTGTCAATCTTGCCAAGATGCCGAAGAATATGTCATTGAGCTCGACGACAGGCGGAAAGGTCTGAAGGTGACTTCACTCTTCTTTGGCGGTGTTCTGCACGGCGACAAATTGCACGAAGGGCCTCGTATTGGGGTCAACTGCTGATCTTTGCATCGGTAGGTTAATTTGTCTGGTTGTGTCCCGCAGTGAAGAAGCAATGATGTCCACTACATTGGATTGATCGGCCGTGTACTCACAGCCGATCTTGACTAGATGTCTTGAGCAGTGTCCTAGTCGGTTTGACGGATGTAGCGCGTGTGTGAGAGCGAGACCATCTAAAGTGAACATAGTTTGGCAGGTGGTCACTGCTGCGAGTGTCCAAATCCGCGGACCAACATGCAGAAGAGAGAAGGCTCCTCGAAACAAAACAGAGAACAAGGCAGCTGCTGTAGGACGTGCCACGATTGTAGGTGACCCGTGGTTGAGCACACTTAGTTCATAGTTGCACATAGAATTGGTAAATCCTTTCCTCCACTTTTTATTGTAGTGCTACCCCAAAGCGGATTATGTGTATTGAAGCCGCCAATCACAATGTGTGTCCTTTGTCCGGCTTTAAGTCCCCACGTGGAACCAGTATATCTGCGCGCATGGGTGTATGTTTCCTCTTCATACTAAGAATGTCCGTCTTTTATGGGTTATAATCAGGCTCACGTAATCATTGCTGGTATGCGACACGACATCATGTCTCAAGAACGCAGATCACTTTTTGGAAACTATTTGGAATGTACAGAAAGTCAGTGAACGAAAAATATATGGCACACGCAAGTTATTTGATGAACTAAAATACAAATCTGACGCAATGAATCAATTCATCGAACATTTATCTATTGCCAAAATTTGATGAGAAAAATAACCCGATTTACAGTTGCGTCTGAAGAAATGGATGGCAGTTGTGTGTAATGACTTGATCTTTCGCATAATTGATGATACAAAAGAGTCTTGGCATCAAACAAAATTCAAAGTGGTACCAGTCCACTGCACAAGTGGTGGACTGACTTCCTAGTATTGCACGTTTTAACAGGGAACAAAATTTCTTTTTCACTACTTTGCGAGTACAACTCTGAACAGTGAATTGTGAAGACTGTCTAAGCGGCACTCGGGTGCCCGAGAGAATTTTCGTAATTCGTTAAACATTGCAGAACACGAAGTTTTACATTACGCGACAACTAACTCATTTAAGCAAACAATGTTTTATGTATGGTGCATCTGTATATCACGTATGCTATATAACGCAAAGTAGGCAATAGCCACGGTATTGACGTTACACCACGTGCGTCAAATAAGGGTGCGAGAAGTGGTGGACAATCACATCGGGCGCAAGTGTTCTCCATGAATGTTGGAAGCGAATTGAACAAGAGCACTTCACTGTCTTCTGCAATTCCTACCTACAAGGCAAATCTTATTTTTCCTGCACACACATGGCTCTGGGCGCGTGTTCACGATTGGGGTATTTTAACGCAAGAGCGTTAAAGATCTAGTTTCAGCAGAAATTCTGGCGTCATTGGTCGTGAACGAAAAATCATCATGCTTGCGCGACAGAAAATTTGAGTATTTTTGCGTGACCGAATAATCAAGAAATATGCAATGCAAAATAAATAATAAAAACTTGCTGGGACGGAGTGAAGATCACATCCGGGTCTATGCGTAGCAAACAGCTGTTCACCAACAGTGCCACGCCTCTGCTTGTGAATGCAATGAGAAAAACTTCCTCTGCTTGGAAGTGCAGCAAAAGTAACTTTCATTCCTTTACAAATACATGCGTCCTGTATACATGTTTCAGAGTATAACGTTAAATATTGCCTTAATAATGCCTGGTACAAGCAGACATTACCATTGGGCGTCAAAACATAGGATTATCGTAAGGACTTCTTACTTTGAAGCCAGTCACCCACTACCAGAGACACACATTCCACTGCACTCTTAAGCCACGTTGTGTGTGCATCGTTATCACGCGTTTAAATATTTTTAGGTTGACTGGAGCTTTCATTTTATTTTAATAACTAATAACAATATGGCAGTGCTATTGGTCAAAATGCTTCCTATACCAACGTATATTCTGGGTATCCACAATGACTTGTGCTTCGAGGCCTCCTTATTTTTATAATAACGATCAGCCTCCAGCCGCTTCCTCTGAATTATTTTTATTTTTCCTGATGATTGCGCAGTGGTTCATGAACACTCGAATATGACAAAGCTCCGGGGTCCAACTATCGACTTATAAGTTTGAAAAAATTGGGTGTAAAAAGCGCTGAAACACCGACAGTCCACCTATTTTGCACAGCTTCCCATATCAGCCCGTCAGATGTTATAGTGTGAGTGCTGTCACTGCCTCTTCTCTGTCAACTGAATGTGTAATCATCATTCTACAACTTCTTCATCTTTATATATCATCATCAGCGTATGCCAGCTTGATTTCGTCTCGAATAAAGCTCTTCCTCATTATATTCAGGGGGTTACTTATTCTGTAACCTGAACTGGGCACTAAGAACATTACTTTCAATGCTGACTGTATCCTTGGGTACTTACGTTGCGATTTTTCCGTCGCACTAAAATAATGTGTTACTGTAAACTTGAATACGCTTCGTCAGTGTGCGATCATGCGCGTGTAAAACTAATCACTTTTTTTCAGCATGCCCGGAATAACTGGTCTCCTTACACGTTCTTTCACCACAACACCTTCGTTTGCGCAACAGCTAGCTTCTTCCGCAACAGCGCGTCGATTTCTTTTGCCGCATGAATTAACTTCCTAAGATATACTAACGCAGCTTCGAGGCACAGTTGTTTCAGCCCCGCAGCATATATCTTGTTCCACTGATCATCGCCATCAGCTAGGCATTCCATTTTCATAACGAGAACACCAGCCCAATATTTTTTATGCCGAGCACTGCAATTTAGTTTAACCACTGGTTAGAAAATTGTTGATTAGTGGCCATTGTATAAGTACTAGCCTGTCGGAAATATTCCCATACTTATTTTTCTGGCTGTTGTTGTTGCCTTCTTGTTTGTATCTTACCCACTCTCATTTTCAGTGCCGTTAATCAGTTTGAATAAACGTAATAAATTATATGACTTTATGAACTCATCACTATGTATTGCACGATTATTCAAAGGCAAGGTTCCCGCTAACGCAAAACATCTCGCCATTTGTCGGAGAGCCACTTCGATCGAGCATTACTTTAAAGTTTTTTTTTTTTACATTTCAAGTAGGTACAAGGCGTCCCTGCTTACCACGGGCACAATCTATTCGTTCACTCTCACATGAATTATGGCATAATGCGCTAGGGTAACACCTCTAATGCTCAATCGGCTTCTCTTCAAGAATTACAAAGCCAATCCATGAGAACCACTACTAACAGTTCACACTTTTTTAACGACAAACGCCAACAGTCAAGAAAGCAACATCCCAGCTATTTCAGAGCTCCTCAAATGTGACTTCAGTACTGTATCCTATACTATTAACTCGTAACCAAGGCCCTGCGTCCAGTCTGCTTCTCATCTACTGACATGATTGCTTATACTAACTACTACTAGATTTGCGCACACCAATAGTCTGATGTACGCACTAATTATGGTCAACAGGCAGCTCAATTTTATATGAGTATGGAATACAATTCCAGCTTCTTCAAAAAATCCAAGACACTCAAGGAATGTAAGAGAGAAACTAAAACCTAAGCGAGAACCACCGCGTACCTGAACGGGACAAAAAGTTAGAAGGACAGAAACCTACTCAACGCTAACAACTTAATTTTTGTTATGAGAGATCCGAAAATGGACAAAATTAAACAAAAAAGCACACTTGACGTCACAGCATCAGCAAAGCGAGATGCCTCCACTTCGCACCTACACCTGCTCTCTGCTCTAAAAAAAATACAGGCTTTTTTGTGAAAGAGCAATAGACGAAGATATACACATTCTTGAATTTCTAAGGCTTCCTCAAGTGGTTGTCTCACCAGTCTGCATACTGGCTTATCACTTCTGCGCTCAACGAAAGACGGTCGGCATGCGCAGTCAGCAACAAGTACGGTTAAGGTATTTCGGATATCACACGCATATTCATGCAGGCAATCGTTGAAGCAGCAGCCCGTCGGTCTTGCACACGAGCGTTTGCAAAACAACGGGATCTCACACACCACCTCCACCTGACATGCAACAAACGACTTCACGCTCTTCTGGATGAACAGAAACAGCCACAATACACACATTACACATGGGTGACTCACACTGTTCCTTTTTTATAGTATTATGTTGTTTTATTTCGTATGCTTCTTCGTGTTTACTGAACTTGTGGTTCCATTTTCTGCATTGAGTGTATTTTATTTTCACTTCGTATATTTCTTTACTGTTTTGCTGCGAACGTGTTCAGTCTAATTCATGCTTACAAAGAGGGCTACTGCTTGCTGGAAACACTATGTATTATGATGATACCTCTTTAACGGAGGTGCCGATACAGTGTTCGAGTTAGGGACCTCCTTAAGTATACTAGACTCACGTAACATTCTTGTACTTACATCAATAAAATTCTGGTTCTGATTCTAGTTTACTTACGATGATAGACTTGCTTGGGTGAATCTGTGCAGAAAACAGACAAAAAGACATCTTTAGTACAACTGCAACGAAAAAAAAAACTCGATAGCAGAATTTGTTTAAAGAAAAAACGTAACATGAAAAAGTCCTACACTATCCGTCATTGTGCGAAATGCAACAATTGCAAAAGCTCCTTTTCAGAACGGCATTACATGTAAAGTTCATTCACGTTTTCACCTCAGAACCTCAGCTACGTAAAGGACAATATCTATTTATGGCTGATGTCCCCAATATTCCACGTACTAACACATAGGGGCAAGTAAAGATAACCCGCAATGGCCCGAATTTTTGAAGCCCACTGCTGCATAGTGCCTCTAACTCATGTTGTAGATTAGCACGGAAAACAGTACAGTTTATTATGATGCCTATAAAAACTTGTTTTAACGAACGCAAACTGCTGTTGTTCGTTGTATTAACCAGCAGTAATTTCTTGCTAAAATTCAGCAGATCCCACGTACCTGAGAATCGATGTTATGCAAAGCATGCGGAAGAAAGAGGACCGTGTTGCAATTTCTTCATTGAGTGACACGTCACGGAATGACGCTGAATATATTTACGCATGGTACACGCACAGACATATGTTGAAGAGTTACAGCTGTTTATATAACCAGTTGTTTGAACTTCCACAACGATGCCAACTGGAGCAGGCATATTAGCAGCATCAGAAGCTGATATGAAGCACTGATGCTCGCGAGGATGTTGTCCCTGAACACTGCTACATAAATCCACTAATTCAGCACATGGCAACTAACAACAATCGACGTTAATTTGACGAGTCGGCTGTATCAAAGGAGTACATATTTATTGTTTATAAAATTGAGTAGGCAGCACTGCAACCACTATTGACGTTTCACGAAGATTAGCGTATAGATCAAAAGTAGTTCCACGACCTAGCGTAGCACTGTGGTAAAATGCTTCATTGCAATGCTGAATGCTTGGGTTCGATTACAGCTGGGATCCTGACATTTATTATGCGCATTAGTCGGGTCGACGCTACCGATGTCATGTATTTCTTAACGCTCGCGAGCTAAAATTGCCCGTGTGTGTTCTCGTCGTTCCTAGGTGGATACCAAGTGTCAATCACCTGTGTCACATACCCGCATACCAGTAGCATATACCCACCCGTTGGTATGTGCCACTGTCTGGCCGGAAGTGTTTGGTGACGTACGCAACGGGATTGTGACATTATTCGTGTCTTGACGAGCGCATCATATTTGTGGAACCACCTTACCCTCCCATGCTAATTTTGGTTCACGCTAAGTTAAGGGGGTGACCACACAAGAGCACCCAAACGTAAGCGGATAGATAGATAGATAGATAGATAGATAGATAGATAGATAGATAGATAGATAGATAGATAGATAGATAGATAGATAGATAGATAGATAGATAGATAGATAGATAGATAGATAGATAGATAGATAGATAGATAGATAGATAGATAGATAGATAGATAGATAGATAGATAGATAGATAGATAGATAGATAGATAGATAGATAGATAGATAGATAGATAGATAGATAGATAGATAGATAGATAGATATACGCTCAAAGTCGCCGAAGTTCGCTAAGAAATGCTTCGCATTTAATAAGCAATAATAAGCAAACGAAGCAATAATTGCCATTGAATCCAAGGCCTGCGATAAAAAGTTTGTAGAAAGTCTCACATTCACACTCTTTTAAGAAAAACCTTTCCTTAAGGCCTATTTATTGTGAAAATATTCCAGGAGCCGGTCGATTTTATGATTCTTGAAGAATCCCTTCTACTTAGTGCAACAAAAATGTTATAAACTCACATAGACGTTCGCCACCAATGCAGGAGGCATCGTCAGTATGCACTCACACCGAATCAGCGGAGGACGTCTGTACCCATAAACCTGGGCACTTAAATATGCGTATGTTTATGGATACGAGGGTTTTCCGATGTTAATCGAGACCGAAGACCCTTAATCGTTACATTCAAATAACTGTTTAGTTGTGACTTTTACTCCCGGCAGTTTCGGGACTGAAGACAGTCACTTCATCACTTGAAATTCATTTGTCCCTGGACTGCCGGAGGGTGAGACAAAGAGAATTGAGCGCACGCATATGGTTTTGGTTTCCGTCCACGAAAGCCATCCAAGCAGCAGAGCTATACCTTATAAATTTAAAATTAAGAGAAATTTTTGCCGGGCGAATCATTGTACGTTCATGATTATTTTAAGGTGCGATAACGCACATTCATAAAAGAGCTTTGCACTATGTCTATTTTCATCTTTTGTGATTGCGCTTTTTTTGCTCGCTCTAAACTAAGTTTTCAAGATTATTTTAGAAACCGGGCATACCCACCACTCAGAGAGGCAGGCGCCTGGCAAGATGGCTTCGTTAAGAGCCGTTATCTACCGCGATACATTCCACCACTGAAAGTACACTGAACGCTCTGTACACCATTTCATTGATAAATGTTCAAGCTGGTAGGAAATACTGAAGAGGCAATACCAGTAACAATCAATTATTTATCAGTCACTTGTAATAACCAGGAGGAGGCTAACTAATTGGTTGCTACAATCTAGCCGCAAGTGAAATTCAATCCTTAAACACATAGTGACAGTACTTAACTTTATGGCTAGGTGGCGTGAGTCAACATCCGATCTAAAGGGCACAGCCGGATACATCCATCCATCCATCCATACTTAGAATAGGTATACCTCTATCAGCTTCTTAATTGTAAGGAATGGACACAAAAGTGCTGTGTTTAGGTACGATTTGTGGCTAAAAGGACTTGCAAGCGCCGAAGAACGCGGCCAGCTAGCAAGAGCGCTAGGCGTTGGGCCTCAGGGGACCGAACCAACGAGCGGGTGTCACCAACCCAACCGGGACGAGCGTGGCATGTTCCTGAGGCGAGTGGCGGTTCCGGGCCGGGCCTGACATGCTGTTCCTGTGGCGGACGAGCGTGCGGGCCAGGGCAAGCGGCTGATCCCGTCCAGACTCGGGTCCGGCACAACCAGTCACCGAGATCGTGGCCATGGTGCCACGTCGGAGCCGGTCCGGCACAACCGCCAATTGAAGGTGCGACCTCGGTGTTGCGTCGGCCGCAGCGTGGGGCCGCCTGGTCCAGCACGAGCAGCTGATGGTCTGCTCGTGAGCTTCCGTGCACTTGGCAACCTCCCCGTGGCGAGGTTGCGTCGTCGACGCCATCGTCTTCAGCGGGAGCGTGAGTGGCACCCGACGGAATTAAGACTTCCGAGTAGTGAGGACGCGTGGGTTACTCGCGGGCGCGTAGACATAGGGACTGTATGACTGAATTACGGAGCCAGTGTGTTGTACAGATAGCCACAGTGTTGTGATTGTTTTGTGTGTGAAGTCAATAGATGTTTCTCTTGTCCTTGTCTTGGGTTTCTGCGTCTGAGGGCCCAAGAACCCTCACAATTGGCGTCCGCGCGACAGGACGAAGCCGTTTGCACTGGGTTGAAATCTGTAGGGAAGATGAGTGAGCAAGAGCTTATAACGCTAGCGGAACGCATGGGGCTTCAAGGAGCCGAGCTAAAGACGTGGGTAGACGCGCGGTTAGAGCGGGCTCATGAGGAATCTGTGCAAGCGCGTGAAGAGCGTTCCGCGGAAAGGCAGGCGGCGAAGGAACGTTTGGAGATAGAAGAGAGAACTCTTCAACTGCGAATTCGACTAGCTGAGGTTGAAGGTAGCCGAGAGCCAACAGCGCGGGACCGCGAACCTGAGAGGAGTCAAAGCCGCCCGTGCTTGATCAATCCTCACAACCTGATTCCAGTGTTTGACGAGGGGCGTGACGATCTCGATGCGTATCTCAAGAGGTTCGAACGCGTAGCAGTTGGTCAAGAGTGGCCTGAGGAGAAGTGGGCGACAGCGCTTAGTTTATGCCTCAGTGGGGAAGCATTGCAAGTCTTCGGTCGTCTGTCGCCAGAAGACTCAATGGATTACCAGAGTACGAAAATGGCCTTGCTCCAGAGGTTTCGTTTCACAGCCGAAGGCTATCGCGAAAAGTTTCGGCAAAGCAAGCCTGAAGACGGCGAAACTGGTAAACAGTACGCCACGAGATTACAGAGTTACTTCGATAGATGGCTGGAAATGTCGGAAACGGACGAGGACCTTGCATCCGTGCGCAACCTCATTGTAGCTGAGCAGTTTCTGAATAACTGCCACGATCGCCTGACACTTTTTCTAAGGGAGAAGAAATGCAGGACGGTAAAAGAAATGGCAGAAGCAGCTGATACCTTCTTGGAAGCCCAGCGGCAAACAAACTTGTTGGTATTTCGTACCAAGTCTGCAAACAACATTCCCAAGGAGCAAGAAGGATTTACTTATACCCAGCCTCCTCTTAGATGTTTCGTCTGTGATCGACCCGGCCACAGAGCATCTGATTGCCGCACGAAAACCCCAACGAGTCTTCTGTGGGCACTGTCGGAAGCCCGGCCACGATGCAAGAGCATGCCCAAGCAACGGCGGGTCAAAGAAAATGACATCTTGCATCGTGTCTACTGACCAGAAGTCCGAGACGCCCCGATGTGCCGATGATTCATCACAAGATGAATATGTTGCTAGTGCACTCCGAACGCGCACCGCAACAGCTACACGAAACTTGCCGGTGTTACAGGGAGAAGTGTTTGGACATACTGTATCAGTCTTGAGGGATACTGGAAGCAACACCCTGGTCGTGCGACGTTCCCTCGTTCCCGATGATGTGCTGACGGGTACTACCGCCACTATTTTATGGGCCGATGGTAGTTGCATCGAGGTACCGGAAGCAGAAGTACGGATTCTATCACCCTATTTCACCGGAAATGCGATAGTCAAATGCATGACGTCGCCACTTTACGATGTCATCGTAGGAAATGTTCCCGGCGCCCGTGACGCTAATGACCCCGACTCAACGTGGAAGGAGTCAGCGAGCCTGAAGTCGGAAACTAATCAGGCATTGAATTCTGAAGAGAAATCCAAGGATGGATGCGGGACGAATAGCACAGTCATGGTT